GTATATATATATATACGATAATTTTGCTGATACTTGCCCTGCTTTTTGGAGTCTGGCCTATAACCCTTTGCGTGTAAAAGTGGCTTTTATCTTCTAATCATGTAGCTCCTAGCTTAGATTTGTATTATTAATACGATCCTTTGTGTCTTACATAAAACCCAGTATGATGCAGAGGAAACCAAAAAAAAAAAAAGCCTTATTACAAACATAATAAGATAAAAAACTAAAAACATGTTGCCTCTAAGAAGAGTGAAAGCCAGAATATTCAGGCACGGAAATGGTTCATGTAAATAACTTCCAATAAGTTTGATATATGATAAGAAAGATAACACACTTTAAACAATATCACAGACATGCATTGCTGTGACATGAAATGTGTTTAAAGATGGTTATCAAAATTTCTCTCTTTATTTTTATGTCTATCCATACATGATCCCAACCAATCAACCTGCCTGGAAAGGATTAGGAAGAAGAAAAAGGAAACGTATTAAATCCTATTTTTTCTCCCAAGATCAATATTGAATTAAACCGTCCTGAACATTTTCCCCATATCACATGAATTTTACAAAGAAAATAACAATGGTGGAAGGTAATGGTGGTACTTTTGAATGTATTGCCCTCTACTGGTAGATTATTAGGATGCAAGTTGGGACAGGGTGCTGGCAGAGATGGTTCAAATGAGGTGAGACATAAAGCAGCATCATTGCAGGGAAATGTTTAAGGATAGGAAATGCTCTTAAATTCTTCTAGAAACTTACCTGTAAAAGATGTATGCCAGCTTTCAAAGAACTGGGATTGTTATCCATACATGTCAGAAGATCCAGCACTACACAGAGACATCCTGTCCGGGTCTGCATTGAATAGGTCTTAGGTATTAACCAGTTAATATAGTGTTTAAGGCCTTCGTCGTACCCAGAGTTAATTTAAACTGCTCCAACTAACTTAACAGGCAAAAAATAAATAGCATTGCTTTTCAGTTTTACCTAGGCTTAGTATGATGTTCAGTTAATTGAATTTAAGGCTCTGGTATTTAAAAACTGAAATTAAAACGACTTTGGATCATTTGGGTATCTAGAGAAAAGAATGAAACATGTAAGAATAACACTGTGCTCTGAGGAAATATATATATAAAAAATTATTTTCTGATTCTCGAAGGAGGCGGTCAGACTTTCCTGCTGCTCCTGCAACTCCCCCCATTCTGTCCCTGCTTTGCTCTGTCTTGTGTTTCTGAAGCCTCTCTTCATGTCACCCGGATTCAAACAATGGATCTGGTCAGCTGGTCTCTCAATGCAATTGATCATATTTTGTCAGCTGGAAGACAGGGGAGAGGGGACCCATCCTGTCCTGCCATGACATACTTTCTGGGAGACGCCATGCACTCATGGAAGGCTTGAAGGATGGTGTGTTTTACAATGTTTTCAGTCGAGGATGTGAAAGACACATGGATTTGTCATACTTATTTATGATTTCTTCTGTTTGGAGTTGGAGGATACCTGATGTATCTACAATTATAGAGCATGTCGGCAGCAAGAAAAGACTCGAAGCCCCACCTCCTTACCAAAACCCCCTGGATGTTATGGCAGAAGGGCCCCAAACTCCCGGCTCCGCCATCCCCCTTACCCGCAGACACCTGTGGATGCGTTCAGAACAATAGAACCAGTTGATATAATTCCATCTTATCGAGGACAATGGCCTCTGGACAGCGTTCATGGACAAAT